CCATCAGATATTGTTGTACCATCCTTAATTAAATTCTTCTTTATCATTTTAATCTTGAAAAAACTATTGTTGAGGTAGGACAAATTTGGGGTACGACAAGCATGCTCCTCGGTATGACATTTAAAGCGGACCCATTATCAATCAGCATATTGGACAATGAATCGTTCTTACAGTTCATGGAGATATGGAGAGCCATATTATGATTCTTTCCTTCATCAGGAAGCTCGTCATCACAGAAACTCAAGTTATTACAAGATGTAATATTCCCTACGACATTGTTGAACTGGTCCAAAGTCATATCACTTTGCACGAAATCTTGATCCAATACTCTCATCAAAGATTCCCTATGGGCAGAAGAGTTCATTAGCAAGGCTAGAATAGATATATTTGATGGCGTCTTCAACAATTGATCTATGATCATGTAGTCGCTCATCTTGATAATCTTAAATATATCATCCACATCTTTTTCCAGAGTAGTACCACTAGATTCCCCCGTTGCTTTCTTAGGTTCAGCACTTTCAAGAACCTTTTTATCAGTATTAACATTCCCTCGAATGACAGGTGCGAAAACACGACCATTGCGGGTCACTCGACTGGCTTCAGCAATATTCTTGACATCAAACAAAGGTTGGATGAGGACTTCCACACCATCCTCCAATATTGTAGCATTGTATTTGTATGGAACGGCTTTTCCTTATTCGTAAGTAACAGGACCCGACAAGAAAATCACCACTGGAGCAACAGCTGGCTTGCTATGGTACTCAATCTCTTTAGGGGCGGGAACACTAAAAAAAGGCACAATAACATTTACCATTTCTTCATAATACTTAGACATCACGTAATCATCACTGGAGAATATATCTTCATTTATGGAAAAGAGTTCATCTGCAGAAGTATACTCATTATCCGACAGTCTCGGCCTAGCAATCTTCAATCACGTTAATCCCATTATAATCATCTCTATTTCCCGAGACTTTGATAGTACCATTGTCAAATAATAATTGAACACCCTTTCTCACTATGGAACAACCACGAGAATCTCTGCAACAGATCCGGCAAGACCCATAATGGTGTTCTTTTTTACCATCCATGTGACAGAAGGTAGCGTGCAACTGCACCAAATCCTTATTCATATGGTTCACGTCAAAAATCAGGAATTCTCCAGGACATCCAAAGACCATATTTCCATCCTCTTCGTACTCTGCCCTTGGCCTAATTATATGAATGAGGCCTTCGTCCATCATTTCCTAAAGATCAACTTTTATCTTATACATCCCTAGACATCTCTAATGCATATACTATAACCAGCATGGTCGTGCGTATAGTAACTGAACTCGCATAGGTCAGCATGCATCTTTACCAAATATCCTCTAACCAGGCTGATATCAAAAATCTGGAAGTCCCCTGGACAACCAACAACCATGTTTACAACATTCTCTCCTCCATGCTTTGGCAAAGGATTATCTTTCACGTTAGTGCCAACATCTTTAAAGGATAAGAGGCCAGATCTCACCATCTTTTGTACTTCAGATTTTAAAGGATAACAGTTCTCAATATTGTTCCCTGGTGCTCCCTGATGAAAAGCACATGTTTGGTCTTCCTTATAATACCAGGGTAAAGGTGATGGTATAGTAGGGGGCGGGAACTCTCGATCTCGGGAATCAGACTCATCAATTCATCTATCTTGGGATCCTTGAAATTGTACTTCAGAGTCTTTCTTTTTCTAGAATTCATGGTCAAAAGTACCTGAGATATTCGCAAAAAGTTAACTTCAAGTCCCTTGAAATAAAATGTTTTAAAGGATGCTCATGGATGCATGATGCAACAATCACACACAAGATCAAAATTATGGGGGTTCATAGGTTCGATATCACGAGCATGAAATCAAAGGTACTACCCACAAGGTATGGTCAAATAGTTTATCACCTGCCAAACAAGGTTCTAAGAGGTTCCCAGAGTCTACATCCTTCCTTTGGATATTACCAACGTCCTGATTGACTCGGTAATTAGTAATATTCTCAGGAAAAACTTGTCCGAGTGTAACATCGCGTGACAACCACTTCCGGATTACTCCGTCATAGTTTTCGCACTACACCTAAAAGGCCAAGATGGGTTAAAGGTTCTACGGTCCTCAGTTTCAGTAGGCTCCCAAGTCGAAAGCAGCACGTCTTCCCGATTACTCGATAAATGACACTACAGTCAAAGGGGACTCCACTGAGTGGGGGATCTCATGTCTCCTTTTTTGGGATTAATCCCTCAAAGTTAACATGACTATAACGCCCGTCATATCTTAAGTTTTCCCAAGTCCGGGTATAGGACTTATGAGAAATCACCAAGCACCCTGAAAACCAGGAAAATATAAACAAACATATATATAACATATAATATACAACAATAATAGCACATACACAAATAAAAAAAGATAGGTTCAACCCACTTAGAGATGGACCGGCAATTGGTCGATCTTTCCCCAATGAAGTCGCCATTTTTTTCTATAGCGGTAGAAATGTTGAGACTAAGCCATTGGATTGACTTTACTCGCACAGATCAAACAAAAATCGCCACCGTGCTTTATTGTTTCCAAAGGAATGGGAAAAGAGAGAATAACCCAAAAAGAGGGGGAGAGAATCTAAGTTTAGGTGTTGGTTATGCAAAGGGAAGGTATTAGCACCCTAAACATCTATGGTACTCTACAGGAACCTCTTTGAAAATTTGTGTATTTTGGATATAACTGTTGTATAAAAAATAGATGGTGGAGATGGGAAAAGAAGTATTTTTTATAACTTTTTCACCCGCCGCGGTTGTGAACCTTTAGTGCCTACGTACCACCTTCCGTGCAATAGGGAATCAGGGTACTCGTAGTTCACCTTTAACAATTTTAAAGAAAAAAACACAAGTGCGTTGGTTAACTTTAAGAGACGAAACATCATTGTCATATCCGAATGGAATAACATACTTACTACCCACGATTGTGAGAAAGGAGAATTTGCATCATCTCAAAGTGGAGGATATAGCTTGGATTTTAAAATCAACAAAGTCTCGCTCAATACCTAAGTGGAAAATGTCTCACTTCACTACATATCATAGAAGTATAGTAGCTTGCATCAATACAAAGATTGACAAGAGTCTAATCTTTTGAGAAATTTTTTAAGTAAAAAGCCAAAATGTAAAAATGGTTTGAATAAGATTGATTGACTTTTAGTCTTCTCACAAAAATGTCGAAGTACGATTAAGTTGTTTAAAGTTTGATTAAGAAAATATTTTTGAAAATACATGGACCTAAGCCCAAGTTTATTATGAAAGTGGTTCAAGTTTAGAAAACAATAATAATTTTGAAAAGGAGGGAGAAGATTTTTGAAATTAAAGAATATGGGAAGAGATGAAGGGACTATCCTAGAGCATAAGGTAGAAGTTAGGGAAAAGAACCGTCTAACCAACGAGAAGTTAACACTTGAAACAATGAGTCAATGTAGATTTCCAATCCTTTGGATTGAAACCAAGCAAGAAAGATAATAAACCTCTTAATAAAACCAAGCTTCAAATGCATTAAGTCATCACAAAAATTTGGCAGAGTAACAATTGTATACAGTTGAATTCCCAATAATAGACAAGGCACATAATCAGAATAACCTGGACACAAAGAAAAAAAACAACCCAATGTCTCGGGGTAAACCCCAAGAACTCCAGACAAAATAACAATAGAACTCACAAGGTCTCAAGGTAGTTCAAGCTATCTACTCTTAAGTCCAAGAAGTCCATAACTCCAAAATTCCAAGGGTAGTAACCAAATAGTCCAAGTAACCTTAAAGTTTTTTATAGTTCAAGTTGGTTATTAGGTATCTTCAAAAAGGCTTGACTTTCACTGGAAGCTTCCTTTTTATGAGATGAGCATTTAGTTTTGTCCATTATGGACTGAATTTTATTTGGAATTATTGTTTGGGTTGGCGTTCATTCAAGTTTTCTAAATATGTTAGTTGAATAAAGATTTTTGAAGCTTGTAAGAAAGTAGGTGGAAGATGGATTATTTGGCTTTTCTTGAAGTACAAGTTAAGCATGGATCTAATAATTAAAGAGTGGATTCATTGTTGTTTGCTTGGTATATAAAAATTAATTTGTTCAAGAGCATATGTATTCATGATGTCAAGAATTTGATTCCAGCAAGGAACTATGGCAAAAAAGTTTGAATTACAAAAGATGCAAGTTTACAAGTTTACTAGTTTGCTGGTTTACGAGTTCACAATTGCTTGCAAGGAGCTCATACATCAACATATATTGTTGTTACTAAGGTTTATCTACAAAATTCAAAAAATTTACATCACCATTTACAAGTCCATTCAAATTCTTTTCCATTCTTTCAAACAAAATTACAAAGTTACAAAAAAAACCCTAAACATGTTGTTAAGCCTAATCATGTAATTTCTAAGAGAGCTTCACATTGATTTTCTTTTTGAATCTCCCTTCAAACTTCAAGTTGTCATCTTCTTCCAAGCTTCATTCTAAACAACGAATACCCCCACTTCATTCCCCGTGCACTCACTATTATTGCCATCTCATGAAACAAGAAGGAAAAATAAGGTGGTTAGCAAACAAAACTTGAGTATAAACAAGATGTTTGGAGAGAATTTTTCCAATTTCATCATTAGGGTTTGATTGAAGGAATCGATTTGTGGTTTAAGGAATTCTCTTTCAAATAATGTTCACAAATCCAACAATAAAGCCTCATATCCTTCATAACAAAAATCAGATTCAAGTTTAATCATGGGCCTCGTTCTTTACTACAAATCACAAAATCAAGATTGGTTCATAATAAAAGACAAAAGAAGGTAATTTACTGCACATGTAAAACTCAGGAAAACATCACAGTTCGCAGTAAAAAAACTGATGGTACGAATTTCATTTCACACCTCAAGAAAGTCCAATAAACATTTGTCCCAGCCCATTTTGGTACAACAAAAAGCAGCAAAACATCACAACTCAGTGAAATCAAGGACAAAATCAAGTTACTGCAGTAACAAATTCTCATAAGAAATCAACAAGTGCAAACAAAGTCATGAATACAAGCTCAATAAACAGAATTGTAACCAAATCACAAAATATCACAGAAAAGGAGCTATCAAGCATACAAAATCCTAACAGGTCATCATCATCTTCCTACTCAAAGTCCCTTCAGAATAATGAGAAAGAGAAGAGGAAAAGAAACTTTCTGAAAATTCAGAATCAGAAAGATATTATCTAGAAGAGCCTCAGCTATTGGTATCCTGTCGTGAGCAAGATAAATCCACAATCTCGTTACTTCTCTTACAGTCATGTCCTCCTTGTCATCAGGTATGTGCTGAACAAGCATATCATTGAAACTTGAAGTTGAACCAAAAAACGGGGTTGCAAGCCAGCCTTAGCAAGGGCCTGATATTCAGTCTGTATGCAGCATTACTTAGTGTAACTTCAATTTCCGCAAGGGTTGTCTCCCCACTCTTTTTATGTTCCTTAGTAACTTGGATATATATCTCGTAAAGCGTCTCCAATACAAACCTACAGCATGCATCATTAAGATCAGAAGAAAAAAAACCTATGAGGAAATAAAATCAGAAGTGAGAAATCATGAAAGTATAAAGGGAGGAAATTTTCTAAATAACCAAAAATAGTTACTGAATGATTCCAATATCCACCGTTCACCAATAACTAAAATTTAGTTTTCAAGTGAATTTCTAACAAAAATCAAAAACAGAATCCAAACTTCAATAACAGAATTGTAACTAACCTTTTAACCGAGTTCATCTCTACCATCCATATATAACAGATTTCAAGATTCACTGGTTCGGATCTCTTCATTTGCAACAAACTCTCAACTGTCTCTATAACAGGTTTCTCACTCAAATTTCAGGGGGGCGATCATTGTCCAAAATCATAGAAAAATCATGAAACCTCTCTCACTCTTCTCGGCGGAATCTTCATCTTCAACCTTCATTCTCTCTTTAAGTTCCTCTGCTTCTGCAACTCTTTCTCTCACTATCCATCTCTATCAACCACTAACCTTCAATCTTCAACATATCCTTTATCATCTTCAGCGATTCAATGTAATCACCATAACTTCATTCCCTTAAACTCTTTACCAAAAACTGCAACAACCTTCTTCACGTAGAATCATCTCCCTCTTCACTTCACATCGGAAATACACCTAAACCTGTATCTTTCTCCATGATCTCTGAAAATCACGACAACAACGCATGATTACTTCATCAAATGACGTCAACACGCACGAAAATATAAAGAAGGCGTTCAGAAATCGTGCGAAAGAAGAAGACAAAGAAGAAAGAGGAATCTGAAGTAGTTAGGGAAGCAATAGTATTACCTCTGGTTTTATTGTTCTACGTCACTTCAAAGAATCACCGGAGTGTCTTCGGTTAGTGAGTCCTCTTTACTTATCCTTCTACAAATTCTGTTTTGAAGTCTTGGATCCGCGATAGAGAACATGACGTGAGAATGAATTCGGAGCGGATAATGCCCAAAGGAGCTGGCGGTGCTTCAAACTGAGATTGTCAAGAGGAATTTGAGTCGCCTTTGTGAATAGAGATAACAACCATACCATGTTGAGAGGAGACGATTTAAGATGAGAACAGACACATGGCGGTGGCGGAAAGATGAACGGAGACTAAAGGCGTCGCGGCGCCATTTTGTAGTCTAAGAGAAGAAGAATAACATATCTAATCCTAATCCCTCTCTCAATTAACTTTGATTATTTTTCGTTTTTTTATTTCTTCCTTTTTATGTCTCACGATAACAAAAATAAATGGAGATGAAAAGCATAAATGGATCATAGTGGTGTTAATGTGTAGACCGAGCCATACAAGCCCATTTCTTTGCATTGTTTTTTTTTGACACTACAGGCCTTGAAAGCAGCTACAAAAACTAGTTCAGTGGACTGCAATTTGGGCCTAATCTGTTTACTATATCATAGCTCCTGATCCAGTTACACACTCTCCTCCGTTCGTAATCGATTTTAGATTTTTCTAGTGGTTTTCTTTTCTCGGATTTTACTAACAAAATATTGATATAATAAAAGCAATAAAGAATAATAGAGTTTAATATAATTTCTTTTTTAGAATTTTCTATTATCGATTATGTCTAGTAATCTTTTTGTTATCAAGGGTTCGTGACTTACTTTTTCTTGTTGAGATTTGAGTCTTATGCAGGATAGGCGAATGTGTTTGAGATTCCGATTGTGATTTATTTTCACATCGACGATATTTCGACGCTTGTTTCGAGCATTTGATTTCTGATTCTTTTCTTTGCTTGGTAAAGCTTACTCTAAATTTTTTGGGTTTCTCTGCTTTGCTTGCCATGTTACGAACTTTTGTTCGTTTGGTATTTTCTCTGGTTTCTCATTTCAGAATTTTATCGCTCTCTAGAAATCATGTGAAGTAAGAAGCAGGAAATAAAGAGTGTGCGCTCGAAGTCGCAGTTTAAAGTCCTGTAGCAGGCACTGCTTTCTATATGCTAATTGTGTTTGTTTAAAATCATATTGTGATACGGTGGGAGAACTAACTTGGGTTTTTTGCATTTTATCTCAAATGTTACGAATAGCAAGAGTCGCCACCGACTTTTCTTTTATCCAATAAATGAAAGGATGAAAAGAACAGGAAAGACCTTTTAATAATTTTCTTGAGTTCGGGGGGTAGGTTATGAAAAGGGAAGGTGTTAGCGCCCTTTTCATCCGTAGTTATTTACATGCTCTTAATTTATAGCTCACTTTGAAATGCTTTTGTGTTTGTGTAAGTTTCAAAATATTTTGAAAACGCCTTTGTTTGGCGAACTTTGCAATGATTCTCGTATCGTTGAGAATGTATATAAAGTGTTGGTTTTAAAAATATTTGTTAAAAAGGAGTTTTTGAAAGATGTTTTGAAAATGCCAATGTAGGGGAATTTTGTAATGATTCTCGTATCACTGAGAATGTATACAAAATGTTTGTTTGAAAAGTGTTTTGAAAGTGTGAGGTGTAAAGATTGTTTGGTTTGTAAGCAAGCAATTATGAGCAATCTACCTACTCAAAGAGACTTTGTTCTTTTCCTCCTCCTTTAGATAGTGCTATTTTACCATTTATTGGTAGAAAGCCATATCATTGGATATGAGGGAGGGGTGTCGGTCGTCGTACAGTCATAGAAGGCAACTTGTAAGATGTTTTAGCAATTGTCATAAGGGACTAAGATTATTTACCGAAGGCAACATTGAAGGGTCATCGAGGGACTATAGTCTTTTAATCTAGGGTCTTTTGCTAAAACGTCTCACATTCGAGGGTGTTGTACCCCAAAATTTTCCCTCTCTTTTCTCAAGACATTTCTCACAAAGACCTTCAAAAGTTCAAGCTCGCACAAGTATTGACTAGGTCAAGCCATCTCCTCCACACTGATACCTCAAATTAGGGTTTGAGTTTGCACAAGGAAAATTGGACTCCAAATACTTCAAATAACTTTCATGTATCATTATGGACCCTCAAGATTGCTCATATCAAGTTTCAAGTCTTGGATCACAAAAATGCTCAATCAATTGATCAAATGACCTAAAATTAGTTGTATTAGGTAAAAAGTCAACTATGGTCAACCTACAGTCAAACTTCAATATTTTGGACCAATATCAACATTTTGAAGTCATATGTATTAATTGATCAAGTTTGGATCACAATTCCCCAAGAAAATTGTTCAAATCACCAAAAGGGCAAAATGGTCAAAATTAGGGTTTTTACTGTATTTGACCGATCAAGGGTTTTTGACCTAATGCATGATCCAATGGTTTGAAGCATAAACACAAGAATTCAAATACAACATATTTACCTAATTTCATGGCTCAAACATTTCTCAAGATCATTTGATTGATAGTTGAAATTCAGTCAATTGATAAAAAGTCAATTGATACACCAAAAGTCAAACTTTGACTTTTTGATCAAAATTGAGTTTCAAAGATCACACATTTCATCAAGACATTCAAAAACATGAAACTTGATCATCAATAAATCAAGAAAGTCAAAAGTCATTTCGAAAAGTCAAAGTTTTCAAGACTTAGAATTTTTCTAAGTGTTTTTAAGTCTTATTTTTTCATGACTTCATGTCAACTTTTCACCAAGATGCAAGATTATTCAAATAAAATTTTCAACATGGAATTTGTAGATATTTATGATATCTACAACTTTTATTTACTGATCAAGTCCTAGAAATGCTAGGATCTTGAGTTATAGATTCACGAAGTCATGCACTTTGTATAAAAACACTTGGTGAAAATTTACCTAGTTGGGCAGATTTTTGGTACCAACTTCATGGAAAATTTTCACATAGTTCCAATTGGATTATTCAATAATGAAAAACATTAAGATTGTAGAGGATGTTCCAAGCTTTCCAAAATGTCAAAGAACTCATTGATATCATTCTTGATCTAGAAGAATCTAAGAGATGAAGTTAAGGTTTCAAACTTGAATTACAAGGCAATTTTGTGATGAATAATGGTTCAAATCTCAAGCCATGCTCTATAAATATCACTTTTCAGGATTATAACTAGCTAATCACTCCATAATTTAATGTTTACACAACTGTTAGAGCTTTGATCCAAGCATTTGAACCATTATCCAAGAGATTCATCCATTTTTGGCACAAAGTAACATTGATATTCTTGTAAAGTGACTTTAATCACAAAGTCCACTCTCCTTGAGCTTTGCACTTGTTCCTTCTGAACACACTCCATATACAAGCTAGAAGAAACATGTTTAAATCTTATAACCACTCTAGATAGCCTTGTACCATGTCTTGGAAAGATGTTTGTCAACTTTGCTTCAAAATCAAGTAACCAAGCCATAACATGTGATTCTTTGAATCTGATTGTTTGAACATCCAAAACCTCTTGCCTATAAATATAAGCACTATTTGCAAGCCATAGAACAAGTTCATAAGCCTGAAAACTCCCTCAAACTCCCTCAAGCCAGAAATTACTTCAAAACAACATTGTTGTGCAGATTTTGACTTTACACATCAAACTTCAATTTCACTCATGCGTTTCTTGGCCAAACCATTTCAAAAGCTTCCCTATCTCAAATATAAGCCATCCCAATACCTATTTTCAAACTGTAACACCATTTGCACTATCCTTCATTTTCAAAAACAGAGGTTTCCGCTTGTACTTCTCTAGAACAATTCAAGCACTCTCAGCTCAAAGTAACCATTGGAATAGCTTCTTGGAGGTTCAAGGAAACTAACCAGGCCATTAAAACATCTTGAAGTGAGCTCTAACTCAAAATACGAAATCCAGTTTTGAGGTAAGTTTTTTTATTTTCAATATCTTCATATAGGCATTATTAGCTTTCCTTTTTCAAAGATAAAATATAGACATCATTGCCCTGAAGCTGACCATGTCCTTAGAATTCATTTATATTGCTTGAGTAGTGAGAATTTTAAGCTTGAAATTTCTGAAAAAATTAGGTTAGATTTGGTACCATTAAAAATTTGTGCTCATCTTTGAGCCATTGTTTAAGTTATTTACATTTCCAGAATCGTGGTAAAATTTCTAACAAGTTTGATGTTCATACTTTTGAGAATGGTTGAGAAATGAATGAGTTGCAGAGGCTCTAGCTGGCACGAGGAAGAAGATGAAGTTTATCATTAGAAATGGTTTTGTAATATATATTTATGGTTTGATATAAGACATCGGATGTATAACCACCCCAGTGGTAGAGAGCGCGCGCGTTATTTCCAAGGGCCTGGGTTCGAGCCCCATCGCTGCCCTTTTTCCTAACATTTTCTTTGTTTTATTTTTTTGTTACAGTAAGCGCCTGGGCCTAAGATCATTGGGCCTTCATCATTTTTGCTCAGCATCACCCCCATTTCCTTTTTTACTATGCAGTCCAATTGCTTGTTTTTATTTTATTTCTTTCTGATTATAAAAAATGCTAATGGGCCTAACTCTCAAACAAATCTGCTTTTTCTACTAAACCATCCAATTCAATTTTACACCCTCCTGACTTTTATTTTATTTTTCTATTTTCTTTTCTTTTCTTTATTTTTTTATTATTTTTAATATTATTATAATTATTATTTTTATTAATAAAAAAACCAAAAAAATATATATCTTTAAATATTTTATACATATTAATATACTTTTATTTTATTTCTTTTAAAAAGACCAAAAATACTTCTTTAACAAATTCTTTTTCTTAAATAAATTAATATTAGACTAAAGGTTTATTTACTTTTTTTCTTAAAATTAATTTAGAATTTAGGAATTTTAATTAATTAATTTTTCATACTAGTTTAATTAAGATTAAAACCTTTTCATAAAACCCTAAAAAACTTGTCTTCTTAGTCAAATTCAATTTCTTTTCTTAAATAAATTAGGTTTAGTTTTCTTAAATCAAATTAATTAATTTTCTTCTTAGTTTATTTAGGTTAAAAAACCTTTTCATAACAAAAACTTAAGCAAAATAATTTCTTCTCTCCTTGTACATTGTCTCACATTCTTGTACATTATTTATTCAAGTTCAATATGGTTGTAATAATGATTAGGTTTAATTCCTTTTGCTTTCCTCATTTGTAAATGTGTACCCCCATCCC